TAAATCATTTTTGCGACTTTCTATCTTACACTTTTGACATTGACCAAAAGAAAAGGAACTTTCATGTGAAAGCCTCAAATAAGTAGCAGAAGTGCAAGGATTCAATTTTGAGTTCATTAAATACAACTATTTACAAGTAATTTACCACAACCCAACTACATAAATCAAAGTGTTAAACTGACAATGAAACTTAAGTTTCAGTTTACAGGTGCTATAGATCTCTAATGAAATCTATGAAAAACATTTTATTCTAATTCACTTCCCTCGTGTATCTCAATAATTTGTCTCTTTGAAAACAGAATTATGAATTTCAATATAAATATATTGTACTTCTCATAGAGTTAGAGGACTAAAATAGTAAAGATTTCATTTATACTGGGGGGGGGGGGGTACGTATGGTTGCACGAGTGTGCAATTTTCAGAAGTTTTCAGAATACAAAGAAGAACCTATCTCCTAATTAGACATATAACAGAATAATGGGCTTTATGTTTCACATTAAAACCCTCAATTATACCCAAAATGTTTCAAAGTAAGGACAAATTACCACCACTTTACAACCAAAGTAACCAGCCCGAAATATTTATACAAAAATTAACAAAGCATTTTTACGACAAGCTTCAAACTCCTAAAACAATTGCTGAAAAATTTGACACAGAGAAATGTGCCTCCAAGGCTACACAAGGGGAAATTACATAGCATAGAGTAAAGGAGGCGCTCGTTGAAATTAATGTTGCTGTTGACCAACAACCACTCATCTGGACATCTTGCAAAATAGGTGATTTGCTTTAAGGACTGAAGGAGAACTCAGTCGCTCATGGCTTCCCAAATTGTTGCAACTTCTCCCTCGTCAATTGTCTGGACAAAACAAGGATGTAATGACCTCTTCTTGAAGACAAAGTATGCCATGATCTTCATTTATCTTTTGAAAGCTTGTACTGAAGTATAAGATCAGTCTTGCTTTTCCAAATCAAATTTTGTACGGTCCGTAGATCCATTTTTGGGTCCAGCACCTGTAAGAAGTACAAAGCTATGTGATTTGCTCGCAAGCACTTCTTTGCTCACTGTCTATAGTAAAAAAAGGTGTCACTGCTGCGGTTATCTCAGAAAATACCTGGCAGTTAATACAATATTTTTTGTAGATCAAATCCCAGGGCAACACATATCAACTGCACTGCACTGTCTATACTATTCTAGGAATAACACAAAATACAATTGCTAAATTTAAAGCAACTGAAATCAAATGCTTTCTTTTGTGCAGCAAAAACCAGTGAATGAAAAAGCAAACACATTTCTGTTTAACAAAGACCCTACTTTGCTTGTTTTTAAATTCTGCAATAAATTATTGTTCATAAACTTTATATTCGTGTAATCGCCAGCAAGGAACGCTGCATGATGGGTTGAAGTGAAGCTTTAACTGGCAAGTAAAAATGTTTTTCCATTATCTATCAACTAACCATGATACTGCTTGGTTTGCCATTACAGATAATTCATTCTAGCTCGTCATTTGAACTGTCTTTATTTTCCATATTTTTTGTGAATCCCTTTACACTTTTGTAATTTTCCGATTAATTCATTCTTATGAAAAACCAATAATTACTATAACCTTAGAAAAACTTTAGTCAAATAAACAATTGATATCTGGAATAAAACAGTATAAAAAGGTATTAAGTGAAGAGTTAGGCTCGAAACGGTATACTAAATATTCATTTCTTGTACAAAGTAAAAGATTTTACATTTGATAATGTAAAGGAACATTGACTCGCAAATACTTTAACACAAAGGTTTACAAAAAACTGATGGGAGTTTCCTTGAAAACAACTCAAGGTTGTGAGGCGATTCAATATCGTTTAACTATAACCTCCTTCAGCAATTATGTAAAACGTCGAAAATCTGTCATCAAATGCTCCATCGACATTAGTTAGCTGCCACAAAAATCAACTAAAAGCCAACAAGTTGCATCATTACGCTTAGCACCAAAGCTGTTACGATTTGGTGACAGGGGTGGGATTCACTTTGTTACGGGAATTCAAAATGAAAAGCAGCCAAACTTCGCCAAAACGCAGGCAGTTTTGCAGCTTTTGTTTATCTGCCCAACCAAGAGAACATTAGAGATATTGGTCTTATTGTTATTTTGGTCAAACTATTCGCTGATGCACAACAATCTAATTGGGGATATGTGTGCCTGTAATCTCTGTAACTCAATTGTGACAGCTTTCGCAAAGTGCGAGCACCTAAAAAGTACATAATCAATTAAAAAGCTTATATGCAACAAATTGTGCATTACTTAATACGCCAAAAATTACATGACAAGTGCATATTTTGATACTATCAAATAATGTCCAGAAAACATTACAGTTTCACGGCTGTGAGACGGAGGAAGGTTGCCCAACGATTCTGTAGTGATAAGGAGTGCCAATGAATGACAAGGGTATATAAAGCGAGACGAGTTTACTCTTGTGCTTTGTCTTTTTTCCTAACAAAGCATGACGGCCAAACTACATAAGTTTTGCTTGAATTCAATTAAAAAAATTTAAATTAAAAAAATACAAGGAAATTTTCAGGAGACCAGATAGGGCAGAATTTCCTCCGGAGATAGACTGAAATGTTTTCTTAACTCTAATTAATGTGTATCAAAATAGCAACAGGGTGGCAGCCAAAATCAGTTAAGCATGTGACGACACATTTCCTATCATACAGAAGGATTTCAACCAACAGCGGTGCGCAGAAGAAAAAATCTTCTCATTGGCAGAAATGATGTCTTAAATGAAACATGAGACTTGACAATCAATGTTTGACGAACTTCGATGGAAATCAAGGGATTCACCGCCTTGCAACCTAATATTTGATATTGGCAAAATTTGCTATACATATTTGCTACTGAAATAGGACAATGGTGAGAAATATACTTGTAGGAAAATTGAAAATGCATGTTTAAATACCATTATGCTTGCAAGATATATTGTGAAGATTGAAGTAATGTATGATGAAGCTTACCGTGTCATTGCAGTACAGTTCAACTTTAGCCTCTGCGAGGGCAGCTAGCTCTTCAGGATTCAGTTGCGTCTGACTCTGTTTTTCAGCATTTTGTGCTGTTGCTGTTGTTCCCGATGGGGTGTTTTCTGCCAAAACGATTTTCTCATAAACATGTTCCATAACTTTTCGAATATGAATCATATCACTCGCAGAAAGCCGATCACTAAAAAAAGGGAATCGAAATATAAAAAAATCAACTGAGAAGATGGCGTTTGTTTCAAGGTAGGCCGCTATCATTCAATTCGATACTGTTTTGCCAGGGTTTAGAATACCTTAGTTATAAGCTCAAAAAAACTGATCAGTTCTATCAAAAGTGAAACAGGATAAATGAAAGTGACATTACGAATTACAGCAGGGTTGCAAAGGTAGGTGAGCAAAAGTAGTATTACTGAAATATTGTCCTTCTAGCTTTGCCATTTCAGTTGATAGCAAAACCTATGTAACTTAGGCCGAAGAAATATTGTTGGATAGGACGTACCGCATCTTTCCTACCAATGAAAGATATATGGCACGCATCTCAAACCAAACATTTCGTGCTTCAGCACGTATTTGAAACCGCATTGCTACACCTGAATATTACATGTTGCCCCGATTATCGCATTAAGCATGAATCCCGCAGTATCAACGTAGAACCTTCCTGTACTATACACAAAAAGCAACTGAAAATTATACACGGAGAGCAAAACTGGTGTTTGATTGGCAGATTTTGACTAACTGTTTCATTTTGACCAATCAGGCTTATGGTCCAATAAAGTTGTGATGGTCACACCATGGCAAGAAAGTTGCTGTTCATTTTCTGGAGGTGTTCGTTGTGTAGCGTCTAAATCACTGTGGCAACGAAAAAACGTTAGAAAGACATTGCTTGTCTATTGCTTGGCTGTGTCCGTTTTACAGATGTGTCCATTGTAGGGTGTCCGCTAATATGGATTCAACTATATTTCGGACATTAAATTCCCCTCATTACGGTCCATATGCCACGACCTGTAAATGCTTCATTGACATAGACGATTGTCAAAGACCGGATTCAGTTGAAAAAGATAAATATATGGGACAAAGACAAATACAGTTAATTGAGAAAAACGCACATCTAATGAACTGCGGTTTCTGAAAGACGGTTTTCACATAAACCTAATAAAGCCGATTTAAAACTGCTTCCTTGCCTATTAAAAAATAATATCAGCTCATATAAGAAGTCTTTACAGGCTTATTCGGTTTCATAAGTTGTGGAAAGACATTTTCCTTGTTTAGAACTGGCTGACGTGATATTTTGATATTTTGGTTGAATGACTGCCCAGAATCACGCACTAGATTTAATATGAAATCATAGCTTTTGAATACACTGCACCTGTCTGTTTCCGTCAATGTTAAACTTAACTATGTTTACAAAATTCATCTACTGCAAAGTAACAAAGTAATTTTCTTGACACGATTGATGAACCATCTGCGTGGGGACCAACATACAGTCCCTTTTTGGTCGTCCAGAAAATCGGGAGAATTGAGTTTTTAAGAAATGTGAGATCAAAATCTGTGTTTAAAATTTTTGAATCTGGACAAAATAGCCCGAAAGAGCATTACAGAATGACTCTATGTTTGGAAAGTCAGTTGAAAATGTTACGCATTGGCTGAAATAACCAAACTTTGGTCTTCACAAATCACGCGCGGTCTTTCACCCCAAATCTCGATCCAGTTCCCTTTAACACGGTTAGTTGAAAATGTGTATTGGGATTGAAGCAAAAACTCTAGATGGTCAGGCATCTTTAGGAGACTCATCTCTTGAGCCTCAGTGGCTCCATTTAGTGTCATCTTGTACTTATTGGAATTAAATATGTTTTTGAAATCTAAGCTATAGATTAACACTAATTTTTGCTCTTAAAAAAGACAAAAAATTTACCCAGTAATTTAAGTGGGAGGATCTTTAGTTGAAATTCGGCTCAAAGTTTACAACTCTATTGACCCTCCCAAAGACACGGTTCTAAGTCGAATCTTTAAACGGTCAAAAATGAGTCCATTTGAGCATCTGAAGATTCTTCCCGCTAGATCTATGGCTTTATTCCCCTGTCTTTCTTTAGTAATGGCAAATACTATTGCTAATGTATTTCTAAGATCCTGCACACCTTTTATAGGCATCTTTTTCTTTCAATCTCAAGGTCTCTTACATTGCCTGTCATAGAAAACTCCAAATTTTTTCATTTGGAGGAAGCTATTCTCTCAGAAAGCTGTTTTTTATTACATAACTTCAAAAAATAGAGAAGATCTATTTCTCAGACCTTTCTACATTTCAGACGTTCCAATCAAAGAAAATTGAAAATCGGGAGATTTTAAATAATTTCTGTCCAGTATTCGAATTTTTCCATCAGCAAGAATTAATACCTGATTAAATTTGTAAAAAAATTCCATAAAATTTATTGTTCTTGCAAAATTAATGCCCTTAAGACCCAGGGTAGGTGATAAACTCAAAAAGTGAACTAAAATTTTATCTGTCACAAACAAATTCAAAATGCGTTTCTTAATTTCATCTTGCTATATTGAATACAGTATCTTACGGAAAGTATTTCGCTAATGCGCATCAATTTTCTACAAAAATGTGAAAGCATCAGCATAAAAGAAGATTGAGATGACAAAAAAAATCGAATGCACCAGTTCTGATGCGCAAGTTGAATTGGATTTTCTTTGTTGTAACGCTTATACGCAAATTCATGATTTTGCGAGGCAATTCATCAGAAAAGTTTTTGTTGTAGTAAAAAGTCAATCATAGTTCTCACTGACTGACAAAATGTTTGCTTTTTTTTCGTGGCATAACTTACCGAAAAACTGTTTCAAATCACTTGATTTTCCGAGGAAGTATATTTTTGTCGTTAGTAAAAGTGGTGGTTGTGCATTTTTAATCACAATCCGAACAGCTAAAGCAGGCCGCATCTCAATGAAACAAATAAACTCATGAATAGCTATCTAAGTAGTACAAAAAAGGAAGATTTTGGAAGGTCTTCATTAATTTGTAAAAAGAAAGGAAGATCTATTGATATTTATCCCTAATTCATAAAAGGAAAAGGAGATATTTCATTTCTCCTCTTCCATTAAAAAAGAAAATCATTTTCCGGTCTTGCTCCATTATAAAAGGGAAGAAAGATCTGATCTTTCTCAATTTGACAAAGGAAAAGAAGATCTCTTACTGATAATTCTTAACTCATATAATGGAAGGGATGACCCCAATATTATTTTCTTAAATCACATAAAGGGTAAAAGATCTCTCACTATTCTAATCTTAAATCGCACGGATCATAAAATATTCTTTTCTCAAATCACATGAAAAAAAGAAGATTTATCACTGTTTCTCTTTTAATGATATGAAGGGAATAAAGATCTATTGCTGACCAAACCTAAATCTTATAACGGAATTAAGCTTTATCACTATTCACTCATAAATCGTATAGATGAAAGGAAGATCTACCAATGTCTATCCTTAAATGATATCAAGGAAAGGAAGATCAATTACTGTTCATTCCTAACACTTATAAAGGAAAGAAGATTCATCACTATTCATTCTTAAATCATACAAAAAGAAAGGAAGATCTACCATCGTTCATACTAAAGTCAAATAAAAAGAGAAGGAAAATTCATCACTATTTATTCTTAAATCATAAATAAAGAAAAGAAGATCTAACATTGTTTATTCTTAAATCTTGAAAAGAAAAGAAGATCTACCAATGTTTATTAAAGGGCCAATTCTGCAAAAATTATTTTTGCAAAAATTTGAAGAGTAATCTAAGGTATAAATCATTGAATAAAGAAATTGATAATTCATGGTTTTAAAAAGTTTCTGATATTTTTGGGATTTATGAAGTTTTGAAAGATTAACAGAATTTATTGACTCAGGACATTCCGAAGAATTTGTAATTCTTGCTACTATAAAACTTTTAAGCCAAGTTTACTACAATGTAGAAAAGGACTTGCGCACTCAATGAGAAGAAGATTTCGTAAAAACGAACTGGAAAATCTAGCCATTCAAACGAACTTTTTAATCTTTATGAGTCTCAAATCTTCGAGGGACCTACACCTAACGACTAGTGATTTAAAGTGATTTAGAGCGACCAAAGGAGAATTTTAGAGATTTACAGAGTTTAACAGAGGGCTACTGAGTTTTATAAAAATCTTCTGAAATTTATCGGGATTTCAAAACAATAGTAGGGATGTACAGAGATTTATAGAGATGTGTAGAAATTTTATATAAATCTACAGAGATTTCAAGATATTTACAGAGCATTATACAGAGATTTATAGAGTTCTTTAGAGATTTATTGAGATCTTAAGAGCTGCAGAGAGATTAACAGAGCTTTAGAGAGATTAACAGAGCTTTAGAGAGATCTACAGGGGTTTATAGAGACCTAGAGAGATTTATAGACATTTATAGAGAACTAAAAGAGATAAATAGATATTTAAAGGTATTTATACAGTTTCACAGGGATTTGTAAGATTAATCAGGATAATGATAGGATGGAACCAGACAGAATCAGGACAACGCAAAGCACACAAAAGTCTAAGTTTTGAATAAAATGGCGAGAAAATAATTAAGATAATATTACCGCTTGTTGCTGTTCTTTGATCCATTTGACGAGTATGGAACCAAATAAAAGGCAATCTTGTTGAACTTGGGAGATGCTTGCTACAATTAAGAAGACAACAGTAACTATAAAGCAATGGCCTATTATAACCTGTCTACAGTCTATTGACACATCCAGTTTTCTACTAATTCTTATAACTGCCTTTTTAATATTTAAGCGTATCCAAAGAAAATCAACCCCCAAAAGCACTGTGAAACCTGTAGCAAAACATTAGCCCCTTTAATAAAAGAAGGGTCATGTTTTGGGTTATTCAAGGGCTTTAACATACAATCATACGCGCTCGAGGAGAGAAGAGGAAAAAACTAGTTTGCAACAAACAATTTCTATGATTAGATTGGCAAAATCAGGGCTAATTTTATAATCTTTAAAATACTTAGACCCTATTAAATGGGTGTATTTTTCAGAAGTACTACTTACTGGCTACATTTGCCAAACATTTTTGCTTGAATTCTCATCAAGGATTAGAAAACTCTACCCTTAGTGGTACTTCTGACGCAAAACAAAGAATGGGTAGAAAGAAACTCTCCGCGCTCCCTTGTTGTTTTTTCGAAGCGAGGAAAACAATTGTCGTTTGGTTGACTTGCTTCAGAAAAGTGACAGACCATGACAAGGAGCAGTCTAGTTTCCATAATGCTCGACCTGATGACGTAATTAGTTTACCCTAAACCTAACCCTAACCCTAACCCTAAACCAAACCCTAACCCTTTACTTGAAATAATTAATCATACTAATTTATGACTATTAATCATGCTTATTTATGACTATCAGATCGAGCAGTATGGAAACTAGAAAATTCCCCATGACAAACGTTGTGATCGTTCATCTTCTAAGTTTTATAGGGCAAACTCCAATTGTTAGCTGCAGCCTGTGAGTAAAAGACACCATTCGTCAAATCTTGTAAAATTCGTCTTAGTGAGCTTCTTTGTTGACTCAAGGTTCCTCAATATGCATTACTACGCCCTCAATTTATCAAATTTGCACAGTGCTTTCAACCAAGGCTTTTTCTTGTGTTTAGGTTTTTGATACATGTTAATATGTAATAATGTAGCTTAAAATTAAAAAATATTGTACGAGAGCAAATTTTAAAAGCAACAAGGAATTCTTATTTTTTACCTGTAGGCAGGCCTTCTATATCAGCCGTTTACAAAGCTGACAAAGTTTCTATATAACAAAGTGGACAACCATTGCTAGCCTTGTCACACGTGCGCTTGCAAAAAGCGTCAAATTCTCATGGAGTTTCCCTTTCTACTATTCTGTGCTTATGGCAATGACTGATTCTCTCTAAGTTTTCTTGTATAATACAACCTTAACTTCAAGTTATATTATTACATAACAACATGTACCAAAAACCTAAACACAAGGAAAAGCAATGGTCGAAAGCACTGTGCAAAGCAACAGAGCATTCACCTGTCATTTGATAAATTGAGGGCGTAGTAATGCATATTGAATAACCTTAAGTGCCTCATGCCA